TTGAGTGTTATAGAGGGCGTCCAGGAATTCCGACAATCGGCCTGTAGATATAGTCTGACAAAGTTTAAAATAAATGAGTATAAAGGAAATAAAAAAACTAGCATACCTTAATTCTTGGACTGGTGACGGTAGGACTTGACAAAGTCGCCGTGGAACACTCCACGATGCCTTGTCGCATAATTCGTTTTAGCATTGGCCAGTTAGCAGAGTACTTTGGCGATGAGATCATGTCCGAGCGTAGGGCATCAATAACCATCAAAACGATGTTATTAGTAACGGCCGTCGCACTGTTTTTACTTTCAGCTGTAAATGTGGACGGTTTAAAAGTGCGCTTACACAAATACCTGGCTGGCTGGGGAGGTCCATAAAGTGTGCGAACAGCCCCGTAATGCATATATAGAGGGCGAAAATGAATGCTGCGAAACGCAGGTACGCTGAGAAACCAAGGAAAAACATTGTTTCTCCGAAGGCAGCCACGAAGCACTGGCCTACGAAGGAGGAATTTTATCGTTATGAATCGAGTTGAGTAAAACTAGAGAAATAGTCACAAAGTGTATATTAATGTATGTTATGAAAGTAACTTAGGTGAAAGAGGGTACAACAGCGAAAATAAACCTGCAGCAATTTTTTGGCGAAACGCCGCGAATTTCCTTTCAAAAGGACTACCAAAATGACACTGCCTACAACTGCTGCCGCCGCCGCCACCACCATATTCAGAGGCTGTCCTTTATCTTGGGGGTGACCATTCCGTCTCACATGAAAGTTGAGTGTAAAGCCTGATAAACCGAGCCAAAACACACTGGCTATTCAAAGTACGTGTGCTAGCCAAGGTTATAATACGAGGCAGGCGGCAAGGCTGAACAAATCAAGGTCGACAGGAAACGCCCGCAAACGACTCTGATGATGGAAACGACAGTTTACGAAACATCAGTTTGAATACATTCTGGTCTATGAAGACGCTTTCTATTCTTCGTATCCCTCAGGGGATGATAAACACAGTAATATACATGGATCTCGGATCTTCATGCATACCGATATACATATGTTCATCCCAGTATCCCTTGTCTTTGTCGGTAATGTTATTCTGCCCACATATATATATATATATATATATATATATCAATCAGGAATGGGCGCACACCGATCTATTGACTTCACAAAGCAAACAAGCTCCGTATGTGTGGCAAAGGTCACGAACACGCAACCAATTACCAGGCCGAAGTCGGCCAAGTCATAATAGCAGCGAGGAGGGACGACAGAGAATGCGGGTAGATTGATACAGCACCGTTTCGGGCTTATTCTGCCTTCATCCAGCCAATCATAACCCTGACCACCAGCAGCTGAGACCAGAAACACAAACATGCGCACAGACGCACCTGGCGCAGTCGGTCCACCACTGAGGCCTACCAGATGGATCATAAGCACTTCATCGAACCGAAGTTCATCAGTGCCTGGCTGAATGAAGGCAGAATAAGCCCGAAACAGTGCTGTATCAATCTACCCGCATTCTCTGTCGTCCATCCTCGCTGCTATATATATATATATATATTGAAAAACAGGCATCCCAAGAAATATAATTAGAAAGGTGAAGTTCTTTGGGAAACAGCAAAATTTTTTCGTGAATTTTCGAGACTGGTTCCCCAGCTCGTCTTCAGACAACGGGTGTGCAAAAACAATTAACTTTTAGACTGAGTCTAGCAAAAGGAGTCCATGATTGGTTAAGGTTGTCATCTCGGGATTGGCTGACTCGGTTTGAATCTGTCCTTAACGATTTTGTATGCGGCATCTAAATCGATATTCCGGTTGATGCATGCCTCATCTGAGTGCATTGCCTCCAGGAATTCGCGGCCTTTTCTTATTTGGCAGGCGCCAACAATGCGAGTGTTCTCCCATGCGAATTTATGCCCAGTGTCTAGTGTGCGCACACCCGTTGTCTGAAGACGAGCTGGGGAAACAGTCTCGAAAATTCACAATAAAATTTTGCTGTTTCCCAAAGAACTTCACCTTTCTAAATATATATATATATAATGGTAGGGGCGATCACCGATCGTTCTTACGGAACTCACACGTTCCGTTGTGCCTTATGGACACTCTCTCTCGAGCCCAACCAGCAGCCGCACAGCGGCGCATGATATAGGCAGAATGGCATTACCGACAAAGACAAGGGAGATTGGAATGGTCATTTCTGGCTTATTAGCCGTCGTCAGCCAATTGCAGCGTAGAATAATACCCGTATAAGTTTCTTTGTGGCAAACTGATGTGTGAAATGTGCCGTGACTCATTCGCTGTGCAAAGACGTCAAGGAAAGTGAGTTTACTTTCAACCTATTTTTCGAGCCGTTAGCCTAGCTGCTGGCTACCCGGCGGATCCACAGGTGGCGGATAGTGGGACGACCTTTAGTGAAGGTTAGCTGCGAAATAAGCAGACCCAGGTCTGACGAAAAAGCAGTCGCGGACCAGCAGTGACATTGGTACCAATGTGTGGTGGGCTGAAGTCTGGCACGCTGAAGGCCTTGTAAAAAGCCGCAAAACCCAATGAAGACATTGTGACATGGCGACCGTGAACCGCCAGTAAATAACTTTGCTTGCCACCACTGTCTTGTAGCTAGGATTTTAAGCCAAAGCGCTAGAGGAGATAACCTCGAACAATAAATCCGAGCGGCTGTTGGGCACCCGCCCGCCTTCGAAATTCCCAAGAAACCTCATGAAATATGTCCGATCAAAGTATTACGATCAATGCTACGGCGTCTGCGGGAACTGACGCGCTCCGCAACCCTGATCCAGTGTGGGCTAATAGTATGTGAGCTGGACTTCTCAATCGTGGACCAACTCTCGGTATTGGACGCTGGAATGTGCGGACGTTCCTGTACCCTGGTACCCAAAGTCTGACCGCATGCAGCCTTTATCAGTACAACGTGGATGTCTGCTGTCTGTCCAAAGCTGGACTTCCTGATTCAGGCTCACGAGAAATAAAGATCCCTAGAGTCGAATCACACTCCACCCTGTACCACGGCGGCCCGCGCAATTCATCTGGTCGACACGGTGTGGCGATCGCCCTATCGCAACAAGCGGACCTCGCGCTACTTGCTTGGGAACCAGTCAATGACCGGATGGCCTACGTGCGACTGAAGGGTAAATTCCCGAACATCTCCATCGTCTCTGTGTACGCACCAACTTCGGCTGCCAAGCAGCGCGATAAAGAGGCCTTTTACTCGCAATTTCAAGCGCTAGTTGAAAGACTGCCTCGCCGCCATCTGTTGACTATTGCTGGCGATTGGAATGGTCGAATTGGACCCGGCGACCCCACAACCAGTCATCTTCTTGGCCGCTTCGGGCTTGGCTCCCGATGTGAAAATGGTCAAAGATTGCTGAACTTCGCTGATCGAAACCGACTGCTTGTCACCAACACACGTTTCCAGCATCGCAAAAAACATCAGCGGACCTGGTATTCAAACGACGGTCATATGGCTAGTCAGATTGACTACATACTAGTCAGCTCAAGGTTCTGCAGCTGGGTTCACGATAGCAGATCGATGCGCGGTGCCGAGACTGGTAACGCTCATGTGTCGGACCACGTCCTCGTCCGTACACGCTTGAAAGTTCATCTCTCATCCGCGCAAAAAATGCCACGTCCTAGACGCCTCCGTGTCGCAAACATCCGGCAAACCAGGACTGCCGAGGTCCTGAGCAGAGAAATCCGGACCTGTTTTATGACCCAAGCCAACGGAGAAGGCAGTAACCAGTGGTCGTCACTAAAGACGTCAGTCTATGGGCAGCTGATAAAATCATTGGATACATCCAGCGACGTCGCAATGACTGGATCAGCGGAAGAACCCTGCAGTTGTCTGCTCAGACGGCAAGAGCCAGGCCCCGCAACGATGACTACTCCCACCAAATTCGGAAGATGACGGCGAAATCGGCCAGGGATGACAGGAAGCAATATTGGGCTGAAATAGAGACCTCAATGGAACAGGCATCGAACGTTAGTGACACTCGAAAGCTCTACCGTCTGATCCGCCAAGTTGGCGGTAAGCCCTCTACACTGAGTGACTCTCTTCGCGATGTGAACGACGGCTTTATTGCTGACAACTCGGCCAAAGTCGAGCGCTGGCGTGAGTACTTTGAGCACCTACCTCGCCATTGCTCTCCTCCTCAGCAGAGTTTCTTCCCTCTTCTACCTATGCAGTGCCATGCAATCCCCCCTCCGAGGGAGAAGTCGATGATGCCATACGAAAGTTGCGCAACAATAGGACACCCGGAGAGGACGGTATACCCGCTGAAATCTTTAAGTCTTGTGTCAACACTCTGGCGCCCTGGCTCCATGAGGTGATTGAAAGAGAGTGGAGAGACGAGGTTGTTCCTGATGACTGGGGCTTAGGCATCCTTGTACTTATCATCAAGACGAGATGCGAGAACTACCGCGGCATAAGTCTCATCGACGTTGCTGCGAAGATCTTCGCTATTGTCCTACTTGGGCGATTCCAGGCTGTGCGTGACTCTAGCACGAGGCCCAACCAAGCCGGATTTCGTGCTGGACGTGGATACGCAGACCAGATATTCACATTGCGGCGCATTCTCGAATTTCGCCAAAGCTACTAACAACCGAAAGCCGTCTGCTTCATTGACTTTGCCGCCGCATTCGATTCCGTTCACCGTGAGTCCCTGTGGCGGATAATGGCGCTAGATGGCGTACCGGCAAAACTCATCGCAATGATCAAGGCCTATTATTGCTCCACTACAGTGAGTGCCCTGGTCCGCAACAATCTTTCCCAACCTTTCAGTATTCGGTCTGGCGTCCGACAGGGTTGTATCCTGTCACCCGTACTGTTCAACTACGCTATTGACTGGATCCTCGGGAGGGTCCTACGCGAGAGTGACGGCGTTGAGTTTGCACCCGGACACCGACTGACTGATCTCGACTATGCCGATGATACTGCCTTACTTGCTTCAAGTTTTGGTGATCTGCAGTCTATGGTGCCACGGGTGAACGAGGTCGCTAAATCGGTCGGTTAGTCCATAAACGCTGGGAAGACCAAAGTGTTTTCAAGCTGCATCCCTGACCAGGAGAAGACACCCCTCGGGATTGATGGCTATCAACTTGAAGGAGTAGACAGTTTTAAATATCTCAGGGCGAGGCTGCTGCCTAATGGACAGAGTAAGGACGACATTGTCTTCCGAATCGATGCTGTCCGCTGGGTTTTTCCAAGCCTTCGGAAATGCCTATGGAACCGACGTCACCTCTCCATCGCCACTAATATTCGCGTGTACCGTGCATCTGTCCGGTCTGTCCTTCTCTACAGTTGTGAATGCTGGGCTTTGCACGTGAAGGGCGAGCGAAAACTGGAGGTATTTGATCACCACTGCTTGAGGACCATCCTTCGAGAGAAGTTCACCGACCTTGTCTTAAATGAGACAGTCCGCGCTCGCTGCGACATCGCAAGGATAACTCAGGCCATCCAAGAAAGACGAATGAAGTGGTTCGGGCATGTTCTTCGTCGTCCACCTCAGGAGCTCAGTGTTACTGCCCTCGATCCGGCACCGTTACCCCACTGGAGGCGTCGAAGAGGGTGTCAGTTCAAAACCTGGCTCAACACAGTTCATCAAGACATGGAGGTGGTTCTTGGACCTTCGGTATTCGGTCTCCTTCGTTGACGAAGGGAATGGGTTGAGCTGTTCATATATGCTGCCGCGGATCGTCGCGCGTGGAGAGGTTCAGTTCGGGACATCATCGAGGCCGGCTAGATCAGCCATGATCGTAGCCGTATCAAGTAAAAGTAAGCTATTTTTCGAGGGTAAAAGTGATTCCTTGTAATATCGTGTTAATAACACTGTGGAGCATCTGTGGTGTAGGTATATCCAGTGCTGGGTTCACGTGACAGACGTAGTAGGTTGCTGAATTGCTGGTATGGACTACGCCTAGCGTCCATCTGCTGGCGTCCGGGTAACCGCCTCGACCGGCGGGCTGATCCAGGTGAGAAAAGACATCGTTCCTTGATGCCATAGAGGGGAACCGTCTGCTTTCGTTAGCTGCGGTGTGGCGACTCTTTTGATGGCTTGGGAGTACGACAAAACAGATATCAAGCTGGGGTTGACTACTGATACCGCTGCTCCAGTATCTATAAGAGCCTCCACCTTCTGGCCCGCTACTTCGACCTCCGTTAAGAAAGGAGAGGAAAGAGCGCATGTGTCATAACATGTGGAAATAGGGATAATACCGACATTCCTGAACAGTCCTTGCTCCGTTGATATCGTTTAATGTGTCCCGTGAAGAGTTGCGCGTTTTGACCCGCAACTGTATCTACCTGCGGCAGTCTTATTCCAGGGACGCCGAAATCTTCCAATGTTCAGATAGACATAGCAGTTTGGAATATAAGGGTTTGGTTGGTTTGGCTGCTGTGACCTCAATACACGTCGAAATCTCTCTCTGACCTCTTGCAGGCCTACTAGGGGGTGGGAGGTGATAAGGATTGAAAAGATAAGATCCGGCGCATCTAGTCCTTTTATGAAGTGATGCAGTATGAAATCCTCGTTATCTTCTGCTGTGACAGTTGGGCAGGACGTATCTACAAGGTCTGGCAGGTCTTCGGTGAAATGCCTGAGCGACTCGAAACGTTGGCGTCGTCTTCCAAGCAGTCGGTCAGTGGCCCCGTCAACTGAAAATTTGTGGTCGCAGTATTTATTGCAGTCGTTTGCATAGGCTGCTGAATGGCGCAGACGACGTCAAACCCGCAGTCGGGGCTCGTTGGAGATATTTAAGATCCAGACTCTTGAGGAGAGTACGGCTGCATTCCGCCTAAGGACGTCTTCCAGGAAGAATTTGTCGCATTGTAACCAGTTTTGAAGCCCTCTTTTTCATCGTATTGTGGAACAGGAGGCGGAAAATAAGATGACCGCGTACCCCTCGCTGGATTCTGTAAGGATGGATTTGCACCCCTAACAGCATGTCGATATCGACGCGATATACTTGTATGGCCGCTGGTCGAGATATGCGTCCATATCGTTCTCATTGGTCGGCCGTCCTTTTGCACTCCCCTTTGATAAGCTGGCGAACTTGTCGCGGTGATTGTGCGTCACGCGAGAGGCGCCATTATGATTTACTCTGCGGTGGCGTGCGCGGGCGCGACTCTGCTAACCTAAATTTATAGCAGCCCACTTCATTTCTTTTGCCGTTTACATATCTGTGTACATTCTGGTCCTGTCCGGACTGATCCGAGCCTTGAACGCCGCACCTGGTAGGCAGGATGTAGATCTATAGCTCGGTTGACCAGTTAGGCAAGCGAGCACGCGGGACCGAGAGTCAACGCACACGGAAAAGAGCGGAGTTGGGGGCCAGAGGTTAAGTGAACAAAGCCGAACACTGTCTCAGCGATGTGCCCCTGAAGCTCACATGAACAGCAACGACCGATCAGCCCACCGGCTGACGTGGGAGAGGCCAACCGGCACGTGAATTTGACAACAATTACGCCGACCCCAAAGGGAACAAAGGTCAGGCAGGCCTGTCAGTGGTCAGCCCCGGGGAGGTCTAGGCCAGTCAGCGGCAAACAGGCAGGTCAGAGTTCGTGCGTCGAACACGGCTATCATACGGGGCGAGGGAAAGACTGAACAACTCAAGGTCGGCAGGAGTAACAAGTACGCCACTCTGATGATGGAAACGAGGAAGTTTCCGAAACGTCAGTTCGAATGCAATATGGTCCATTAATTCGCCCTCTCTTCTTCTTCTTCGTCTTGTTCGGGAGATGATCAACGCGATACAATGTCTGGACTTCTAATCTTTACGTACAAAACTATATCTATAGATATCTTGGCCAGGAGTCAGCTATCGCCCGCCTTGAAAGTTGAAATAGTGACGATTTTGTGAAACGCATATTCTATGCAGTATTTGACGATGATTTCGCCCTCAAGGACAGTAAGAAAAAGGTTCCCCTATGCAAATCAAAACTGAAAGAACTGATTACAGGTAAGTTACTACATAATCTACTAAATTTACTCCAGACAGAACTTTACATAAGATGGAACAGAGCATGCGGACCTCAATTATTTGGGTGCCTCTTTTAGTAAACGCCTAGAGCGCTCCCCGGACGCGGCAGGTAAACGTCCACAAGGAGGTCAGTTTAAAAAGAGAATGGTAAGCCAAGTACATACATATCCTACATGTATCTAACTTTCAGAATAGGTGGCCGGACCGTCTGCTTCAAACCAATACGTGGTTGTACCTTGTGAACACCGACTGTTCCTTTCGCAGATGCTATTTTTATGTTACTTTCCTAATTTACCAAATGTATTTAATGAACAACTCGCATAATGCCGCCCGCTTGCCTAACGGTTTGTGCGGGTTCGGTTTGGGTTAGAGTCCTCGGTACCAGCCAATATACGATCAAACAACTTACAGTACATGTGCTAACTCATGAAATGTCAACCAAAATTTCGAAATGCGTTCTCGTTTCGAAAAGATAAATTAAGTAGTGTTGTAAAACTAATCATGATGCAGCATAAATCTATAATGATCCATTTACCTCAGGGTGTCGGCTTTCGAAAGAACTTATTTTCGGCTGCATGCAAGATCTATACTCTGCAAAAAATGACTACTTAAGTAGCATGCACTTTTTTATTGATTTTCGATGCCCTTGAAAATACAATTATATTTCATGGAAAACATGCACAACAATATTCATTCTTCTACTTTTTTGGTAGAAAATCACGTCTTCTTCCAATTTCATACCCAAAAGAAGAGTATAATTCGGTTTTAAAAACCTTTTCTAATTCCCGAATAATTTTGAACACGACCTGCTGTTACACTTGCATTCAGGGTTTCAAAACTACAAGCTGTATATTTTCCGTGTACGGAAAACCATGCATTTCTCTATGGTGTTAAGAGGAAACCATATGAGGCTCATAAAATTGAGCAGTGGATTTGAGCAATATTGTTAAATTTACAAGCCACATTCGTAAATGCAGATACATGACGTTTCATGAAAGGCCATTTAACGGTATTAAAAGATCGTACAATTAGAAACTTTTTAAAACCGAATTTTACTCTTCTTTTAAGTATGAAATTGGAAGAAGATGTGATTTTCTACCGAAAATCGCACAATAATCAATACGAATATAGTAGTATGCGGACCAAAGGATTATTATGATTATTATGATTGTGTTTCAGTGGACATGTCCACTGAAACACAATCATAATAATCCGACTTGGTAGTCTAACTGCGACGATTATGGATTTTTTTCCGAGACAACAATCTGACACCTCAACACAAGTAATAAGCCCAATCCACCTTCCGGTCCAACCTCGATTTCCTCTCCTACCTCCACTCAAACAGGTAAAACCCCGTTCTGGGGGTCTAGGAAACCGCAATACCCACACCAAGTAGGTCGGCAGACAAATCGTGCCAAAGTGACTCACTTAAACAAGGGCGTCCTAACCGATTCAAGTACATTATAACCCCTCCAAAAATGAGACTTCAGTTGATCTCGTGGATGAATTAACGTATAGTTGGGTAAATGCAGTAAATTTAAATGTAAAAAATTTTATTTGAATGAGTGTAATGTCTCTTAATTTTTTTTAAATCGGCTTGACCACGCAACTCACGTTTGGCCACACCCACAAGGCGGAGTTGTGTGCTGTAAGGGTAAAAACCCCTTCAGACATGCACTTGTTTTGTCGGGCTGGTTTTAGCAATTAACAGAGTGACGATGATGGCCGCGTAGTTTCGTTATATATAACTGGCCGATACATTCTTCTTCAACGGGTCGCAAGCGTCTGATGTGGTATTCCCAAGGTGGATTCAAAATCAGCCAGACTGATTGCATTTCGGTCAACCTTAGACTATGTACACCTACAAATTATAAGAAATTCGTTGGCAATATCGAAAAAAACTAGTGTCCCCGGTCAAACCATACTTCCGTCAGTACACGCCAGAAACCTCATCTCGCCTTGAAATGTATTTCGTATCACAAAAGTATGACAACTCAGCATTACCTAGGGCTCGGGAATTGACACCCGATTTTTC